CGAAGCGATATTCGCCCTCACCTGCGTCCGGGTGACTAATTCGAGGCTCAAGCCTCTGAGTGTCATCATCGCCCCTTTTCTACATGGACCACGTATCTGGTACAATCGACCTACCGTCTGCCAACTAGCTCCGGTCCCCGCCGTGTCTATCCTGTTTCTATCCCTAATACCAAGTCTATGACTTGCTATGCCCTAGTCTTTTGTTTGCCAACCCACAAGTGTTGTGTTATTGCTTGCTTTGGCAAGGTTCAATGTTAAACCACAACGTTGGTGGGTTGACGCACAGCGAAAGGAGACTGCGACCACACAAAAGGCCACACCATCTTGGTCTTCATACCTTCGATAATATTCGAATGATTGCATCCTACCACCAATTGGTCTCCTGGCATAAAAACCGAGATGCTGCTGCTTGCAAAGTGAGCAAGGCCCTATAAATAGGTTCCATTCTTGCGAACCTTCCTAGAATTCTAAAGTCATCTGGACATGTAATGTCAAATTATATGAGTAATGCATGCAATAAATTAAACAGCATCAACTCTGACAAGTTTCTCAAAGGCATTCTAAAAAGCGGGATTCCGTGTCTGCACGGAATAGTGAATGTAATTAAAACTACCCGTCTTCTCTTTCCTGACCAAGGTTAAAGCCTCTTTTCATCCTGACAAAAGAGCCAGAAGCTTAGTAACAGAATGATTTTGGTATATTGCTAACGTAGATTGTACATGTGTACTTAGCCAAGTACTTAATGCGCTAGTTTTTTTCTGAATGCGTGCTTTGGCACCTCGATAATATTGCTAATGCATCACCGGGAGTACATTGTGTGCCATTCCTTCACCCAGGTCCGAATCAATTGTAATTCAATTTGTCGTGCCTTCCTCAGCTCGATCGAGTCACTGGGATGTGTGGGCATTAGATCTAGATGGTGAGCAGCGTCTGGTATGTAAAGCACAGTAGCTCGGGGTGCTTCGCTGGCTCGTAGAATGCCCAGTGAGGCCCAGGGATCAAGCGCTCCATTGCTGATAGCAAAGGCATGCAAATATCCATGTGATCATGAGGTAGTTGATCGAGGTAAATGATGGAGAGAAAAAATAAAACAAGTTTCAGAAAAGGTCATAAAATTGTTTATTCAGGGACAAACTCATTTTCATTTATGTATACCTTTTTGTGCTTTCATACGTGCAAAATGCAACTCTTAAGTATGCATTCTGCTTTATTTGGTAGAAATAGCTCCTCTCTTTTGCTTGGCACTTGCTGTTCAAATAAGTTCCACAAGTCGTGATCATTGGGACAAAGACATAGATTGCCATGAGGTAATTTGTTTGAACTGGAGTAGTCTTGAGTACAACAGCCATTAGCGCACTATACTCCGACCCGATGAGTCTGTGTTGAACCTACGCCGACAGTCAGTGTAAATATTCTTGCATAGATTAAGTTCAATTGGCAACAAGGCGTAGATATAGTAAGAAATAACGGTCTGGATTTCATTGAAATGGTGGACCAACTAATTAATTTTATTGTAAAGTCATAAAATGATAAGTGTCTATCTTTTCTAGACGTCTAAGGTAGCAAGCAAGACATCAGGCTACGGGAGAATGTTTAACGAATGCCAATTATTGGTGCTTTCTCTTTTTTGTCTAATCCTTGTTGTGAAGTCAGGATAGGCATCATGAAATCAATGCTAAAAAGAAGTATGCGCTTGGCAGGAATGAATCGCAATGTAAGGGTCAAGAGAAATCCCATTTCCGAGCAATTATATATTAGGTCTAATCAACATCTATTGTGCCGAAATAAAACAACAAATTGGGGCAAGAAAGAGAGAGAGAAAGCAAGAGAAAGAGAAAGAGATCAAGGCTGGGAAAGATATTATAACATTGCCGTCTCTTCTGCTCTCAAGATTGATGGGTGAAATGATCAAATAGTTAAATCGATAAGCAATGTTGTAGGAGAGGCTTAAGTTCTCCTCGGAAATACATTTTCTTGGAAATCTATTGTCGTTCTTTCAAGATCAGTCTGACAAATGTTTCTGTGTTGATGTAGCAGTAGTGGATTGGAGGGCTTTCCGAGCTAGATACAAGTGGTTGGTAGGAGAAATGGCACAAGAAGGAATATGGGTCCAGAGCTCGCAGGTGGCAGAGCCCAATACCCACACAGGGCAACAAATAAAATGATTTAAATCGTAACGTTTTGTTCAGTATGCGGAATCCACAGAGCGAAAAAGGGCTGCCTTGCAAAGCATGGCGGTTCGAATGGTCCTGACTTTGGTTGGTGCTCAAGCAATAAAATTAGCATATAAAAAATACATACCCCCACACATTCAATCACAGATAGCAGCACAGAGTTTTCAGCATAATGATAAGAAAAAGCATGGAGCACACTTTGTATAAGGCATCTTATCTGGAGTCCATAATATGCATGATAATTTCCAGAGTCAGACTGTGGAGTTGGCACATTCCCAGACGTTTCTCTGGCATGGTCAGTGAGTCTTGCCACACTTAGCATCACACAATAACTCGTCAGAGAGACAAGTGAAGTCGATCCTTTTGCCAAATGTCTGATAAAAGTTGAGGCATCTCTCCTTTTTCCACAAGGACAGAAGGAGAGATACCACAAGTGTTTAGCAGTCAATTTGTCATAGGAGCAACTTCACTTTTCTCTTTTATGAGTTGAGGTGTGGTGCTAAGAATGGCAAGGGCTATTGACGATGCCGACGAAACGTCTGGGAATTTACCAAGTCCAAAGTCTGACTCTGGAAATTATCATGCATAATATGTACTCTGGATATTGTGCGTTTTTCTAGGTCTTCCTGCTAATATAACCAAGTGGCGAAAACAAGGTCAGACAACTTCTATGCAACCAAAGGAGATCGTGACCATACTAAAGGCCGCACCATCTTGGTCTTCATACTCTCGATGAAAATAATCCGCTTATAGCATTTAATTCCATCTATCGAAGCTAATGGTAATACATTTTTCTTCGAAAGAAAGGTGGTCAGTCATTAACCAATTACTCTGGTTGGTGCTCCGGGCTCGGAGACAACAGGCGAAAATCCTTATTCTGACAGCCAGAATAAGCTGAAATTTTAATATTTAAGGATGGCCCACGAGGTAATAAATTTGCCAAGACGGTGTAAAGGGAATAAGCGACATGTTCCTTATCTAGAAGTCATTAAATGAGGCTCTGCTTTCAATAAAATCCATGAAAATTACAAAATAGGTAAGCTACGCTCCAGTACATATTCTTTAAAGTACACTGCCGGCAAGGAGAAGTTTCCCTCAGGAATAATTCAAAAAAGTCTCAAAGTACCTATATTCGTAGCACCGTAATCCAGCTTATCACAAGATTAAGGGAGCCATTCTGCTTTAAGCTAATAGTTTCATATTCTATAATTCAAATTAATCATTAGTGTCTATATGATGTACATTATAAAAATAGAAAACCCCATAAATCTTAGAGTCTTTACGACTCAAATAGTTAGAGTAAG